CTTCCTTCTCTTTTCTCCTCCTATATTCTTTATTTACTTATTTTATACTGTTAATTTTAATTTTTATTATTGTATCTCAGTGTATTTTTTGTATTTTTGTATTTAGTGGTAATTTATTATGTTCTATTGTATTTCAATGTATCTTATTGTGTTGTAAGCTGCCCCGAGGCTTCGGCAAGGGGCGGCATAGAAATGTTATAATAATAATAATAATTATTATTATTATTATTATTATTCTTTCGGGCCCATGTCTCTCTACCTTCTTTGCCCACTGCCAGAAAGTGGCTGTCAAGAACCTTCCTGAGATGAAACCCAGTCCTTGGGCTGAATGAAGTTTCCCTGACCTGGACCAGTGGGGATGCTGGCCAAGTACTCCTGGAACAGCCATGGAGGAAAAAAAACTTCAGGGGCTTAAAAGAGCCAGCTTCCAAGGCAAAGGGAGCTTTTTCAGGTCAGACTCTTCTGCTTGGATTGTAATATGAGCGGGAGCCAGACTGTTGGCTTTCCTCCCTCACGTGGGCTCTGGACAGCCTGAGCTAACCCTCTGCTTGTCAGTGATTGGCAGCCAAAGTAAACATTACCGATTTAGCATTCACGTAGGGCAGTGCTTTGCAACTCCTGGTCCACAGACCAGTGCCGGTCCGCAGGAGTTTTCCTGCTGGTCCACGAAAAAGCCCAGAAGAGGAGCTGCGGAGGGTTGGCGTATAAGAGCAACAACTTGAGTTCAGCCAGGGGAACTGATCCCCACCAGCTTTTTCCCTCCTTCCACTATGATCTGCTCAGTTCCCCTGCCAACGGCAGCAGCCCTGAGCGAGCAGGAAGAGCGGGCTGAACACTCACCATGAAACACTCGGAGCTCCGAGATTACCATCACCACCCCGTCAGTGTGCCATGCAAGCAGCCCCAAAGCTGCCTGGTTCTGGCTTGCACCACCTGGCAAGGCAAGCGGTGCGGCCATCTTCCAGGCATCGCTGATCGTAGCTCCTTGTCAGGCGGCGCAAGACCAGAGCCAGGCAGCTTGGGGCCTCTTGCACCCGTGTTCTCTGGAGCTTCCTCGTAAACATTACTGAAATCCCATGGATGTTATTTCCCCCCCCTGCAATGGACCTCTCCTAAACATACTGTGTTTCCCTGAAAATAAGACCGGGTCTTACATTAATTTTTGCTCCAAAAGATGCATTAGGGCTTATTTTCAGGTGATGCCTTATTTTCATGTACAACAATCTACATTTATTCATGTACAAAAATCTACATTTATTCAAATATGGTCATGTCATCTTCTGGAACATCGTCATAACTCTCCAAACCCTGAATTGTGTTGCAATGGACATACTAAAAGTGTCCGTCTGACTGACAATCTTAACTGGAGCTTATTTTTGGGGTAGGGCTTATATTATGAGCATCCTGAAAAATCATGCTAGGGCTTATTTTCCAGTTAGGTCTTCTTTTCAAGGAAACAGGGTACTTGTTTAGTTACTAGGTTTCAGTCTCCCAGGAAATGAGAACTCCTTAGGAAGAAATTTGCAAACAGAAACAGATTTTGTCTGTGCTAAACCCTCAAAATTTTATCCTTCCACAGAGACTGCTGAAGCTGAAAACCCAACTATTAGTTGCAGTAACTTGCTTCCAAGTTTCTTTTGGTTCATTCAGGATCAAATATTTTACACTGAGTATATTTTTCAGTTACAGTGGTACCTTGGCTCATGATCTTAATCTGTTCCAGGACTCTGATTGTGAGCCAA